GGTTACAGCATCTCCCTTCTAGACATGTTTCTTGAGGCAGGGGAAACAAAAGCAAAAACAAACTATTTGGACTTCATCAAAATAAAAAGCTTTTGCACAGCAAAACAATTAGCGAAATTAAGAGCTTACAGAATGGGAGAAGCTATTTGCAATGACTACCGGAGAAAGGGTTAGCATAAAACTCAACATCCAAAACATAATTACTTACCTTTCCTGTTAGATTATTTTCCTATAGAACATTTATCAACATTATTGATTAATGGTGCAGTTTATTAATTCCTAATCAAATTGAGCGATTTCACTTTTCTTTCATTCTTCTACAGTCTTACCTTTGTGTTTTCTTCTTCTTTTTTAAAGGTTTTTATTGTACTTTTTAAAAAGATTTTATTTATTTATTTGACAGAGATCACAAGTAGGCAGAGAGGCAGGCAGAGAGAGAGAGAGGAGGAAGCAGGCTCCCTCCTGAGCAGAGAGACCAATGCAGGACTCGATCCCAGGATCCTGAGATCATGACCTGAGCCAAAGGCAGAGGCTTAACCCACTGAGCCACCCAGGCACCCCCTTTGTGTTTTCTTAAATGTTTTGTTTCTTATGTAAAAGTGGTAAATGAAGATATTACTGGAAAGCATGGAGACAATAAAGATCATCCAAAATGCCATCAAAGTTAATTATTTCCAGACATCTGTGTGTGCTTGCACAAACAACTTTATGTGAATGAGATAAACAATGTAACTTTTTGATGGAAGGCAGACTAATCTAGCAGAAAGACACTCAGGTGTAAATCCCATCCCAGCTCTGTCATTTTTTAAAAAAGATTTATTTATTTTGAGAGAGAAAGTTAGAGCAAGTACACAAATGCAAGTGGGAGGAGGGGCAAAGAGAATCCTCAAGCAGATTCCATGGTGCCCACGACCCATGACCTGAGCTAAAACCAAGAATTGGATGCTCAACCATGAACCACCCAGGTGCCCTTCCAGCTCTGCCATTTACTGATCATGTGACTTGAGTGTGTATTTACTTTTCCCTCCGTGTATTAAAAGAAGGGCTAATAAAAACTATCTCAGGGTTTTGAGAGAAATGACATAGGTACTCAATAATGTAAGTTTATTTTCCCTTTTTCTTAATCTTTGACCTTGACATTAGAGGGCTTTCCTAGAGTTCATCACTAAACAGCTCTTGTTTATCTCATAGTATTTGACTGCAAGTATCTGGAACAAAGAGACCATATCTTACTAAATTTTGAAGAGCCCCAAAATGTTGGCTAAATAAATGAGGTCCTAAATAGAAGAGTTTTCTTGTGACTTCTATTTGGAATGGTTGACTCTGGGACATTTAATTAAACTGCATCTCACATTCTATTTGCTATCTTCATTCTTAACGCTACCTATATTTTCTCCTAGTTTCAATGAAAAATGCAGCTAAGTGGGAGTGCCTGGGTGGCTCAGCTGGTTTAGTGTCTGATTCTCTCTCTCCCTTTTTTTGAATTTTATTTTTTATTTTATTTAAGATTAAAAAAATTATTTGAGAGAGTGAGAGAGACAGAGAGAACAAGTGGGGAGGGGCAGAGGAAGACAAAGAAGCACACTCCTTGCTGAGCAGGTAGCCCAACATGGGGCTCAATCCTGGGACTCCAGAATCATGACCTGAACCAAAGGTGGACACTTAACCAACTGGGCCACCCAGGTGCCTCTATGCATCTGATTCTTGATTTTTAGCTCAGGTCATGATCTCAGGGTCCTGAGATCCAGCACCAAGTTGGGCTCCACACTCAGTGGGACGCCTGCTTGAGATGCTTTCTCCCTCTCCCTTTGCCCCTCCTCCTGCTCATGCAGGCACTCTCTCTAATAAATAAATAAATCTTTAAAAAAATGCAGCCAAGTGATTTTAAGCAAGTCACTTACTGTACTGCACAGTTTCCTCATTTTAAAAACAGAATAATAGTTTCATACTAGTACTTCCTGAACTTCACAAACATGATAGTACTTCCCAACTACAAATCCTATACAAATTTGTTATTACTATAGAAGTTAGTTCATTGTCTATTTTAATTCCTAATTATTATCTTGTGGACACACTCACCAATCTCTTTTTTTTTTTTTTTCTACTATACTACCTGTTCTGTACACCCATTTTTCCTACATTTATCTTTTTCTAATCCTTTGGTTTACTGTTGCTGTGGCATGAAATCACTGATCTCTGCAAGGGAACATTTGATAAGCACTGGAGGAAACCAAACTAGAGATACATTCACAAGTCACACACAGTCAAGACAGAAGGCTTAGACTTTAAGATAAAGCAAGATAGACCAGGAGAGGTGAGGACCAAGTTTCAGAGAAATATGGAATAGAGGCTAGGAACAGATCTGAATCCTGGCTCTGTTACTTTAGCTATGTGGACTTAGTAAACATTTCTGGTCCTACATTTCCGCATCTGTAAAGTGCAGGTACCTACATCATAGTATTATAAATTTGAGATATGCGTGTGAAGCACTTAAGAACAGTGCGTGGCACACTGTAAACACACAGTAAATATGAACTATTATAATTATTATAAGCTGATCAGTGGTTGACAACAGGTGGGAAGGTAAAGCAAGAGTTTGAAAGTTCAGAGAAACACTGAATGTTAACTTCAGCAGTTCTGTATTTTCTCATTAACTTGTCCCTTAAGCCCGACTTCTAGACTGAAAGACTTTTTTCCCTTAAAATTTTCTTGAGTCAGATTTTTTAAAAACAGCAACAGTTCAATATTTGAAGGCAGTAATAGTGAAGCTGCTAATCATAACCTTAAGTTTGACTATTTTTCTACTTTATTGTATATAGAACAGCCATGTTTCCAATTTGTATAACCTAAACATTTTGTTACTCACTTTCCTGCTGGTATAACTGAAGTAGTGGTAGAGACTAAAGAGGAAGTCAGGATTTAAAGCTTTGCTTCACATTTCAGGTACTAGAGGCAAAAGTCTTTCATAATGCCATAATGGAGAGACAACATTCACCTGACAAAGTTGCCATGCACTGAGTTTGCTTTTAACATTCTTTATCCGTTACTGTGACATCCAGATACCAGAGTTCTTGAGAACAAGAGCCACTACTGGCTATAAAACCTATGCTCAGGTTTGATACTACAAACTTACTGCATGCTGGCCATGTCTACTCCTGCATGTTTTTAGTTTGGCCTACTGGGTTCTGAGTATTGGTTGCCAATACTTAAAAATTGAAACATTTCACACAAAATTCCAGCCTTAGGGTTTCTCTTGGGGGAAGAAAAACATGTATCTCAGAACACTGGACCCACATTCTTGTGAGCAACAATCTGCTAGTGCTTAACAGCTGCTCGTTTCAGTTACAGCATGGACACTAATTTGCCACATTTCTTATTATTCTCCATTGTTTTACACCAGGCCAGTTTCATTCATTTGCTTTATTTTTCTGCACCCTCCCGTCCCCCGTAGATATTTGAGTTTGCAAATCCTGTCTAGATAGACTTTTCCTGTCTCCGATCAAAGCTTACTTTGTTCCAAGTCCCTCACAAGTTTTTCAAAGCAATAGCTAAGTAATCTCATCAACTATGAGTATTTTTACATGTGCTTTCTGGAGATAGTATCTTCATAAAAAGGATGACTCTGCAGGTGGAAATTACAGGCACCACGGGATTACAGTCAGGACGGCAACCGTCCATTCTACTTTTTCTACTATCCTGGCGTAGCCATACCTTACAGTCCTCAGGCAAGCCTAGGGAATTGCTTCTCAGTAGAACAATGAACACCGGCCTACGTGTGCAACCTACTTATCTAGTACTTTTATAGACTGCCCTATTTCCAAAGGACCAAAAGCTCTGGGCCATTCTGACTCCCTGTTTCCTCGGAGGCTTCAGGATATCCGGCCTGACGGCATTTCCCCATACCTGTTTTCGGGGCTCGCTTTGCGCTGGGCAGTCGCGCCCAAGGAGCGTGCGCATCCAGCATGAGCTCATTTCTCAGGGGCGTTTCCAGAAGGCCCGGACTGGCTGCGCACACTAGGCGCAGTCGGCCTCACTTTATCAATGGCCACCACTGCTGGGCAGGGTGCAAGCGCCCGGAGGAGCTGCCTCACTAGAAGCTTTGTTCCTACTTTAGCGTCTGAGAGTTCGCACCCAGCCGGGTAGGCGCCCTGGACCCGTCTGGCCCTTTCGGGGAAGACACTGGTTCTTCGGACGCGCTATCCTTGGCGGAGGGAAGGCTCCGACCCGCAATTTGAGCCACGCGGGGCCGAGAGACTCTTGGTGGGTGGGGAGAGTCCCTCTGAACTCTCTGTTCGCTTGAGCGCTCCGAGCCCAGCGCCGCCGACCGCAGCAGTTTCGGACCGGCTGCGCAGAGTGCCCGCGCTCCCTATCTGCGGTTTCCACAACGGCTGAGAGAAGCCGCAGACAAACCCATCATACACCGACCGCCACGACCCCACTAGAGCTTCCCTCCGCTCTTGGGACAGCCGCCGGGGGCGAAAGGCCAATCACACCGCATCTAGGTCTTGCGATTGGACGACAGTGAGTGCTGATTGGCTGCCGCTACGGGTTTCGGCCTCCCTCCTTTTCCCTTTTGCCCCCACTCCAGTTCCAAGGCTTCAAGCCAATGAGAAGGCGCTTTATAGACGCCCTCCCTTTTCTTTCTTCTTCTCCCCACCTTGGCGAGGGAGGAGACGTTCTGACTGGCCGTACTGTCCTCGGAAGCCCCACTCGCTTCACCAATCACCGAGGGAGGTACACTCCCAGCGGAGTTGTCGGCCAATTACAAGGCGGCCGCGGCGCCCAGCCGTGCTGTTTCACCGGTGACTCCGGGTTTCACCGTCCTTAACTCTTCAAGCTTTTTCGTGAGGGCCGGCCACTGTGATTGGCCACTGCTGCCATTGTAGAATTTCTCCTCTAGCCAGCCACAGAACGAGAACCCACCTTCTTCTCGTTCGGCTATCTTCGGCATTTTCCGCTTTTTGGGCGTGGATTTCTAGCGACACTTCCTAATTGGTTTCTCAGGTCGATCGGCTTTTTCCGGGAGGAGTCGCAAACAATAGACGTCTGTGATTGGCTCTGCTCTGGCTTCGGCTCCGTAGCCGAAGCAGGCGGGCGCGGACCTCGGACGGCGATTCCCAGACGCCTGTTACGCGGGTGGCGGGGCGCTGGGCGGTGTAAGGCTGGGTGGGGGAGGAAGGAGGCGGAGGACGAGTAGGAGGGGGGAGGGTGAGTGGGGAAGAGCTAGGCGGCTGCGCAGACGGCGCTCCTCACACAGAGCAGCCCCCGACCCGGGCGAATGCAGGCTTGTGCTGCCGCCGCCGCCAACGCCGCCGCCGCCGCCGCCGCCGCCCGGGCCGAGTGACAAAGGAAGGAAGGAAGGAAGCGAGGAGGAGCCGGCCCCGCAGCCGCTGACAGGGCTCCGGGCTGGGGGCAAAGCGCGGAGACTTCCTGAGCGGGCACCGAGCAGAGGCGAGGGGCGGGAGGGCGGCCGCGCTGGTGCCGCGGACGGGGGAGGGGGCCCCAGGGGACGGAAGCGGTTGCCGGGTTCCCATGTCCCCGGCGTATGGGGAGCAGTCGAGGATCCGCTGCCTGGGATCTGAAGGGAGCTGCCTCCGCCACAGCCGCCGCCATGGCCGCTGGATCCAGCCGCCGCCTGCAGCTGCTCCTGGCGCAATGAGAAGAGGAGCCGCCGCCACCGCCCGCCTCTGACTGACTCGCGACTCCGCCGCCTTCCAGTTCGCCGGGCCCCCGCCGTCTGCCCGCCGGATCCCGCCGCTGCCGGAGCCGCAGCGTTTCCCGTCGCATCTCCGAGCCACCCCCTCCCTCTCCCTCCCTCCTTCCCATCCCCCCTTCTTTTCAAGCGTGAGACTCGTGATCCTTCCGCCGCTTTCCTTCTTCATTGACTCGGAAAAAAAATCCCCGAGGAAAATATAATATTCAGAGTACTTATTTTCAATCAAGTATTTGCCCCCGTTTCACGTGATATATATTTTTTAAGACTCCCCCCTCCCTTTTTCCTTTCCAAGGAAAGGGAGGGGAAAGAACTGTATTTTTTTCCCAGCCCCAAATCATCTATATGTTAAATATCCATAGTGATCTGTCTTGAAGAAGAAATACATCGCTCGTTTTTTTTTTTTAAATAGCTGTACAGAAAGGAGTGAAAAGCCAAGAAGACGAAGTCTTTTTTTTTTTTTTTTTAATCTTGTGGGACAACTTAATGCTGCATTTATCATTAACCTAACACCCCAGCATAAAACAAAAGGAAGGAAGGAAAAGAGGGTGATTCGGGAAAAGAGTGATCATGTCAGGGCGGCCCAGAACCACCTCCTTTGCGGAGAGCTGCAAGCCAGTGCAGCAGCCTTCAGCTTTTGGCAGCATGAAAGTTAGCAGTGAGTATTGATTTTTATTTTACACCCCTTCTCCACCTCACCCTTAAAATACAAAGCCTTTACTAACCAGGATCTTAAAATATTAGACCTCCTGCTAATAATAATCAAGAGGTAGTGGAAAAGGGCAAAAACCTGTCTTCAGTCAAGGATGAGGCAGCTCCCTCTCTGTTCCCATACCACTTCCCCCGGTCTCATTAACCTTGAATTGAGAGAATATGCTTTTTACTTGGATGATTTGTTTTGAAAGTTGCTTCTTATACTTTTTGTGCTGTTGGTAGTCAGCTTTATCAAGTGCTTGAGTATTTCCATGTTGAAATAGTGATGAAAGTATTTACTTGCTCATCCTTTCGAATAAAGAGGACGATTCAAATCGTTACGTACATTTGCAGAGTATTTTGTCTTTTGGAATAAGGGTTATTATATTTAGCTCAGGTCTTAGGGGTTGTCATAGTTTTGTATACTTGCTAGAAAGACTAAATGTCAGTCTCCTAACATTTGTTTCTTGTTTGTGTGACTACAGAGTATTTGGTCTTAATTCAGAGATGAACTTGCTTAGTACCTAGCATTCGCGTTTGGAGGCGAGGCTTGAGTTCTCCCTTTAGAAAGGGTCTGTGGGAGCTGGTAGAGACCCAGTAGCATCGCTACAGGCATTGTTTTAATTGCACACATGTTTTAATGCTATCTCTTAACCTTCCCGTTTTGACATTACCAATTTACCACTATATAATTTATGTTTAATCAAAAGGTAACTTGGAAGAAGGTTCAAGTTTTGATTGAGGTTTGTATTGTCATGTTGCCAGATACTAAGTTGAATGTTAATTGTCACTGACTCATCATTAAGTTCAGTTTTGGGGTGCCATTGCATTCAGCGTTTGTTAAATGATCTAGAGTTCAAATGTCCCTTCTTAGGACTATTTAAAATACTCTTGCATTGGTTTCCTCCCACATTTAGATAAAACTATGGGTTTAGTTATGACATTATGGATTTAGACCTTTCTGTCAGGCTTTGCAGAAGGCTGTAGTCCTGAGTATAATAGGGATATTTGAGCCTGTGTTCAGGGTTGTTGCTAGACTGTACTTTTGTCCCAGATTTGTGCTAAATAGTCTGTGTTTGGTATACTAAGTATCTATTGTTCCAGAGTATCTCTATTTGTAGGTAGGTATTTAGTGACAGTTTATTTAAATCATACTTCCAGAATTTGACAAAAATATCTACATTGTTTCCTTATTCCTGGAGAAAGGGGCATAGTGAGGGCAAAGAAAAACTGTTGCCTAGAAGGAGAGAACTGAAGAACTGAGATTTTTTAAAAATATATATATACATGCTGTGATGTGAAGTTGATTATATGCTTAAGCAACCTAAAATTACCATTTTTAATTGAGCTCAGAATTTCAATTTATTTTGGCATTTGGACTTGCCTGAAACAGGGTAGTCTAAGGTAGTAGCTGAATAGCAGATCAGTTTTAAAAGTTATTTATTATTTATTTTTGTGACTAGTACAGAATGCTGGGTATGTGAAGAAGGCAGCTGATGATGCATTTTTCAGAGGAGAGGCAAGCTTTCTAAGCACTTCATGGGGTCATTTGAAAGGAATATTTTAAAATTCTGGGGTAATTTTCAGCTATGATGAGGCAAATCTTATAATAGCTACTTAAGAGCCTCTTGTGGTACTGGAGTGTTTGTATGTTTTTCATCTTGGTAATATAGTTTAAAACCACTTGAAATCAATTTTAGGTAATTATTTTATTAGATCAATTTCAGAGAGCAAAATAGAATAGCTTATAATATTAAGTTTTTGGACTTTTAATTTTGTTTCTGAGGTTTTTTTTGAAAATGAGTCCTTAATTCTTGGTAATGTGGTTTGTTGACTAAGGTTGGAGTAACTCTTGTAAAGTGCATAGGTTAAAGTGTTTAATTTTCTATTCTTATATAGATCATAACATTTAAAAAATTGGAGTTCAATGCAAATTTTGTGTTTTTGACAACTTTGACTTTAAGGACATTTTAGAAGAAAAAGGATATCATTAAACATTTGTTTCAGTGCTACTGTTCTAAGGGATCCCTCTTCAAAATAGAGATACATAAATAAATTAAAGTCCCTGGCCTCAGAAGCTTATCATTTAGTCATAGAGGCAGGTTGTGGGACAAAATATGAACAGTATCATGATGACTGCAAGATTATAAATACAAAGAGAATGCTTTGTTCATTGGGATGAAGAATACAGGAGTGAGGCCTCTGGGTTGGAGAGGAAGGACTTCCTGCAGAAATGTGTTTTAAGACAGGTGTTAAAGGAGGCAGTCGTTTGAATTGATAGAGAAGCATAAAGGATTGTCGGTGGAAGGAATGGACAGAGGCACAGAGATGGTGATTTTTGTGTGGCAGGTAGATAATTTTTGTACTTACCAAGCAAGTTGGTAAATCTGAGTTAAAGGGGCCTAAGTTGGAAAATAAGAAGAGAGTGAGTTTGGAAAATGTGTTAACCAGAGTTAACGGAGAGCAGAAGGGACTTGTAAGAGTTTGGTTGTGATTCAAGAGAGATTGGGATTTACTGTAGGTTGGTGAACAAGATGTTTATTTGAAGGTGATTTGGACAGCTGAGTTAATGGATTACAGTAAACATTAGAGCCCTTTCAGAGAAATAGTAGGGTATGTTGTGAACATGAGGAAATATAAAATAAAATGTGAAAATGGTATGAAAGTAACACATTTGAGAGATAGTGTGAATGATGAACTGGCAGGACTTCAGATTGGATCGAAAGGGAATATTTGGGAGGGAGTCAGGAGTTAAAAATAACTTCTGATGTTGTTGGTCTGGAAGACTTGACTGCTGAGTTAGATTGTCGATTGTAATGGGAAAGTTGAGAAAGTGCTGAGATGAGAAGGTAGATGAGTTCACTTTTTAAAAATTTAATGTACAATAGGTTCCCTTCAAGTTCAGCAGAGAGAGCATGTGGTTACTGGCAGTGATATTTTACTTTACAGTCTATTAATTGCACAGTTTCTAATTTTTCTTCACCTAAAAATGTTGGATTTATTTTGGGGAGCAGTAAACTAACGGTTTTTATTTAAATGCTTTCTATTAAATAATGTCTTAAAAAAGAAAATAATTTTTTATGTAGATTCAAAAACCTTACCCTTGACCCTAGTTATAATAGTTCCATGGTAATTTATCGAAAAACAGTGGAAATATTTTTTGGACTAAAAATATTGGATAATATTTTTTGTGACATAAAAACTTTAGATATTTTATTTTTTATTTTATTTTTTTAAGATTTTATTTATTTGACAGAGAGAGAGATGGAAAGAGAGCACAAGCAAGGGGAGCTGCAAGCTGAGGGAGAGGGAGAAGCAGGCTTCTCACTGAGCAGGGTGCCCATTATGGGGCTCAGTCCCAGGACCCTAGATCATGACCTGAATTTTGAAGGCAGATGCTTAACCAACTGAACTACCCAGGCCGACCCGAAACTAGATATTTTAAATAGCCTTTAATTTAATCTTTGGTACATTTAAAACCTGTTTTTCATAAATAATGATTATTCTTTGTTAAACTTTGCACTTAAAATAATGATAATAATAGTAATAATAGGAGCCTTTATTTGGTTTGTGAAGGCTCCAGCAGAAATTAAAAGTTGATTTTATAACATATTTTTTGCCTTTTTGGTTGAGTTAAGCATTCATCCCAAGTTTGTTTGTTTACTTATTTATTTTAAAGATGTATTTATTTAGAGAGAGGGAGAGCATAAGCAGGAGGGGTAGAGGAACAGGAAGAAGAGAAACTGAAGCAGACTTCACGCTGAGGGCAGAGCCCGAAGTGGGGCTTGATCTCACAACCCTGAGCCCAAACCAAGAATCAGCACTTAACAGACTGCGCCATCCAGGTGCCCTGTATTCATCCCAAGTTTAAATCATGTATTTAAATTGTATATTTCAAATATTACTTTTTACTTACTATGGTGAAACCAGTGTTTCTTTTTGGTTTGCATTCAGATGCAAGTGTCTTTAAGTGTCTAAATGTTAGGAGCTGTACAGTTCCTTCTGTAGAATTGTGTAATATTTTACTCGAAAAAGAGAAGGTAAAGGACTTCTTATGGTGATTTTGTTTAAAATATTAATAGTAGGGGCACCTGGGTGGCTCAGTCATTAAGCATCTGCCTTTGGCTCGGGTCCTGATTCTAGGACCCTGGGGTCCACCCCACATTGGGCTCCCTGCTCAGCAGGAAGCCTGCTTCTCTCTCTCTCCCACTCCCCCTACTTGTGTTTTCTCTCTCTCTCTCTGTCTCTCTCTGTCAAACAAATAAATAAAATCTTTAAAAAAAATATTAGTAATAAATCCTTTTGGTATACTGTTTTTGGTATACTATTGGCAAAATTTTTAGCTAATTGGCTAGGTTTAATTTTTAAATACAAGATTTAAAAAGAGGAGAGTAAATCAGTGAGTATCATTTATTTCCTCATATAAAACTTTTTACATCAGTCTTATTTTAGTGAAGAGAGGATAATTAATAGCAGTTGCGTATTTTTGTG